GTTTTCTACTAACATCAGTCTCTCTACATGCACACAACTCAGTCATACTTTGTGTACACAGTCAGAGTTTCCAAGGGGTTCTAGACTCTGTCTGCACAATTTAGGATGTTTAGGAAGCAATGTGAAGGGAGGAAGGGGAAATGGACAGTAAAGACCATACAACAAGCTAAACACTTCCTGTTGCTGAAGATGACTGAACCTCAACCACCCATGGAAGTGTGGATAACACCTTCAGGTTATTCTCTGTGAGATGAGGAGATGAGGTATGCATGCAACTTTCCTTTCATCAGCACTGAAGAAATTCTGAGGGTGCTCATTCCTGATATGGTGTTCATTTGGTGTATAGGCAGAGGTCTCCTCTCTTGCTTCAAGATGACAGTGAGACACAAAACGTCTGATAGAAGTATGCACAAATATATTGAATACCGAGATACCAAAATTGCCTGATAATCTTGGTAAAAACAGTATAGAACTTTACATTCTCCCTGCAACAAGATTCTGGCTGGATTCTTTATAGCCAGATCCCATCAAAACACAAGATACACAAACTCCCACCTATAGATACCTATAGCAAAGCTGGGACCTGGGTCATCTCTTTACTACTATACATGGGAACAAACAAATAAACACCAACTGGAAACTGGAGACTTGAATTATGTGCAGACTGTGGCAGTGATAGGATGTTGCCCAATTGCCAAATTGATTGACAACATGCAGAATTTTTATTTTTGGTGCTATAGAGAATGAAACTCAAAAGTTGCTGTCTGCTACACAGTTACTCTGTCACATGAATCATTTCTCATCTGCTTCTGTTTTTCAGGCAGGATAGCCTGTTTTTACTTTAGTTGGTCTGGCAATGCACTTTCAACCTCTGAATTTGTGTTCATCATAATATGGAAGAATGAGTTTGGCTTTATTTTTTACAAATATTCACTGAATCTTAAATTCAAGGATTACTTTGGTTTGGGAAGGGGTACAAGATGTCCCCTTCCTCCTTGACCACTAGCCAGACACCACACTGAAGCCCAGAAATTATAAATCGATTTAAGTTGAAATCCAGATAGAAATGAGACACCTGTAACTATCATTTGTTTATGAATTATACAGACCAGGAATATTTACAAACACCATTGGGATTTCACGTATTTCTCTAGAAAGGCCTTAACAATTTATTTGGCCATTAAGGTGTTATTCAGGGAAACATCAGGTTCGGAAACAAGTTCTACAAACACCAGAAGTAAGGCAAGTAAGGCTGAATAGCAGTTGAAAATACATTTAATGGTCACATAGGTTAAATATATCTCAACCCCTCTCAGATCTGACGCTTTTCTCTTCCCAGGACCACAATAAAAGCACAGTACCACTGAGGCAGTGTGGCATTGGTTTTGGTCCTGTCTTCAACTTGATTCCAAATTGCAATAAGTGAAAGTCATTAGCATTAAAGTAATAGCCCTCATTTCCCAAATTGTAAAATTTAACAGTCTCATTGAAATAAATACAAATTAGCTTTCATTGTCATCCAGAAGGCCTATCTTCTATCCCAACCACTTCAAGAATTTCACTGAGATATCTGTGCCTCCCACCATCACACCTAGATCAATTGAGAAACAAAGTGATATTTAAAATGTATCACAATGCTTTAAATCTTTAAAACATCTATCTTTTCTTCACCCTTGAAGTTGCCCAGTCCTTACCAGCTGGGTGTAAGAAGTATGGATGAGCCTCTCCATTCTCCAGATAGTATCAGAAAATTAGACACATGTAACAAGAAAGAGATACATGAGGACTAGGGAATTTGAAAGTAAGTGATTTGCCCTGAATTTGATGTGGAATGATCAGAGTGCAATGGATATATGTAGGTACTGTAGTTCTTAGATAATATGGAACTGTAAGTCCAGGTAAAACTTGTACCTGGTGACATGACAAATCAAAAAAACAGAAGAAATGCTGGACTTTTCTGGTAGCAACATACTTTTGCTTCAGCACTCTAGCCATCTAACCACAGGATATTCTTACTACAAAACTTGATATAGTTTTTTTCCTTTGCTTTGAAAATTTTCCTATGTAGAAAAAATTTTCCTTTATGCAGTAAAGTCAAGAAGGAAGAGTTGGACTCAGCCTTCATACCTGCTCTTGGGAAGAATCACATTTTACTTTGTGTATATGTATTATTTAGAAGAGCCTGAAGTATGAATTGGTTGAAAATTTAACACATTATATATCTCTTGGTATGTCAATGAGATGTTAAATGCATTGACATATTAAATGAGTTAAAAATATCAACAAATTCTATTCTTTCTATATCTTCACTTCTCTGCATGTTCTAAATATTAAGCACAAAAATATTGCTTTACTCTTCTCCCTTTCAGGTGTCATGACACAAAGATTTAAAAACTCAAGAGAAATGGTCATCACACCTGAATGCACCAAGAGCTGTATTCAAAGGATAGTAGACTCATCACAGCTTCTGCTGTATGTGTGAAACACATCTGGACAAATTAATATATGTGGGCACCGTGGAAATATGAGGATTTCCTGAGTTGAGCTGGTCCTATAGCTATGCCCAGCTTTACCCACCTTTGGTGATTTGCATATGCTCAGAGCACAGATTACTGCCCCAATGACTTCATAATAGGCTGCTCACACCCTGTGCAGCAGTCAGTCCCAGTCAGCACACAGCATGGATATGAGGACCCCTGCTCAGCTCCTGGGCCTCCTGCTGATCTGGCTCCCAGGTAAGGAAAGACAACAATCTTCTCATCCTGTGTGTTCAGTGTTGCCTGGGTCTTCACGGAAGGCCTCCTATAACAGGACTAACAGTGTGGATATTTGTGTCTCAATTTCCAGTGCCAGCTTTCAGATGTGACATCCAGATGACCCAGTCTCCATCTTTCCTGTCTGCATCTACAGGAGACAGAGTCTCCATCACTTGCCAGGCCAGTCAGGGCATTAACTATTATTTAAACTGGTATCAGCAGAAACCAGGGAATGCTCCAAAGCTTCTGATCTATCATGCAAAGAATTTAGTCTCTGGTATTCCATGAAGGTTCAGTGGGAGTCAATCTGGGACAGAGTTCACTCTCATCAGCAGCAGCCTGCAGCCTGAGGATTTTGCCACTTATTACTCTCCACAGGAAAGTAGTTACCCTCCCACAGTGATACAAGCCATAACACAAACCTCCCAGGGAAGCAGAAGTAAAAGGCTGGGCTGCCCAGCTGCTGCTCCTGGGGCCTTCATCTGCTGATAGAGCTTCTCAGATGTAGCACTTCTGTGAGCACTTTTAAAGGTTTTCATTAAAATATGAAGGCTTCTTGGAATCTTAGTCCTTTTTCTCCTCCTCTCTCCCAGATGCACAGACATGGTCATGTCTCTTCTCATATAAAGTCATCTTTTCTACTTCACAGAGTAAAACTGAAACCAGACAAGAATATCTAAGAAGGAATTGTTTTAATACAGGAAATTGGTCTAATCATTAGGTTGTTAATTTGTAGGTCATCAGAGAAGTTGCAAGGAGGAGTGTGGCATTCTCTGGTTCGGTGAAGCTGTCCTAGGGTTTTGAGCACATGTTCCTGTGATTCTCCACCCTGTGGAAAACATCAGGGTGAGCAGCTGATGCTCTCACCTGACCCAACTGCCTCTCCAGGGGAATTCTCCAGGCCTCACTTCTGATCACATATCAGCCTGCTTATGTGAAGAATTATACAGGTCACTCCAGTTCACCAAATCTAATCAAGGTATGACCTATGATGAACTCTGCAGGAAACAAGGTAAGGAACAGGGATTTGAGCTTCCACAAACAATCATAATGATCATAAGGATGTATTGAGATAACCGACTGTCAACAATGGTCACTTTTCCCCAACTGTCAGAAATAGTCCACCTAAGTGATACTTTTAAAACTCACTTAAATTTGATTGTAAATTTTTTCTACCAATATGGGATTATGAACTTTAAAAAAAAATAACAAAATCTGTTAATTCTGTTGTAGAAAACTATCAGAAGCTGGAAATTGTATGAAAAAATCACAAGTTGTTCATGATCTTACATGGCAACAAACAACTGAAATAATTTCTTGATAAAGCAAATCAGATACAAAACAATATTAGAACACAAATAAAGGAAAATACATTATTGGGTTAAGATTTCTTTTCCTTCTATGACTCAAACCTGCAATCCTAGCTACTCATGAGGCCAAGATCTGAGGATTGTAGTTCAAAGTTCGCCCTGTCTGGAAAGTCCTTGATACTCTTATCTTTAATAAATCACCAGAAACCAGAAGTGGCACAGTGGCTCCAGTGGTAGAATGTTTGCCTTGAGCTGAAAAGCTGAGGGACAGTGCCCAGGCCCAGAGTCCAAGCCCCATAACCAAAAAAAAAAAGGAAAGGAAAAAAGGAATGGAGAGAAAGTAAGAAAAGTTTCAATGCATAAGTACTTCATAACAAAAACAGTGATTTTTTTTTCCTGGATGATTGAGAGTGAATAAAAGATCTAAGTAGAAACAAGATATTTCAATATATTTATGAAATACTCTCTTACCTCTGTTGCTTCTGTGAATTATACACTTTGAAAATAGTCATAAAAGTGTCTTCTACCATCAAATCATCTTCACATACTCTGCAGGCAAATTCATGTTCTTCTTTTCTAGTCTACGAAACCTGTGGATACAAGGCCTGTGGTGATTCACTGAGTTGAGACAATCCTGAAGATGTGCCCAGCTCTGCCCAGCCCCTGCTGATTTGCATGTGCCCAGAGCACAGCCCACTGCCCTGAGCACTTCATAGTCTGCTCACACTCTGTGCAGGAGTCAGTCCCAGTCAGCATACAGCATGGACATGAAGGTCCCTGCTCAGCTTCAGGGGCTCCTGCCTAGTACAGTAGGAAGGCCTCTTGTAACATGATTATCAAGGAGGGTATTTGTTTTCTGTTTCCACTGCAGGTGCCAGATGTGACATCCCAATGACCAGTCTCTATCCTCTCTGTCTACATCTCTGAAAGGCAGAGTTTCCATGGCTGGCAGGGCCAGAGAGGGCCTTAGCATTTCTTTAGATTGGTTTCAGCAGAAATCAGGGAAAGTTCCTAAATTCCTCATGTATGTTGCAAAGTAATTACCATCCTGGTCCCTTTCTGATTCAAGGAAGGTGGATCTGGGGCAGAGTTTACTCTCACCATAAGCAGCCTGCCACCTGAAGGTTTCCCCACTTATTACTGTCAACAGAATAGTAGCTACCCACTTACAGTGATACAAGCCATAACATGAAGCTCCCAGGGAAGTAGAGGTGAGAGGCTAGGCTGTCCCAACTGCCCTTCCTGGTGCCTCCAACTGATGACACAGCTTCTCATATACAACAAGAATCTGAAGGTCAATTGAAGATTTTGGTAGAATCATCTCGGCAGAATTTCCTGTCCTCTACCTCTCTGTCTGCAGCAGTACACACTTGGCAATGCCTCTCCTGATTCAATAGAGCACACAAATAATAACAAGGGAGGAAATTTTGAGAGTCTTATTTGGAGTTCTTTTGTAAAATTGAGACATGTTAGTTAATTCAAGCAAGTAGTGTTTCTTTTTGAATAGAAGAAATTATTAGCCTATAGCCATTCCAAGAGTGGTTTATGTTATTGAGTGAAGCTAAACACAGAACTGGAGTATTCTCTGTTGTCCCTCAGACCCAGATCATCTACTTATGAAACTGGAGGCCTTCTTACCTAGGTCCTTTCCCTGTCTAGAAATGTAACTAACCATTGCTATAGGTGAAGTGGCATGAAACTCACACAAATATACTGTGAGCTGGTCAAATTGGTAATACTGGGGTTTGAAGCTCAAGGTCTTGATCCATTTAGAGTGGATTCTGGTTCAGGGTCATATATGAGGATTTAAATTCAGTTTTCATGTTTCTACACATATAGAGCCAATTCTGACAGCACCATTTGTTGAGAGACTGTCATTCTTCCATCCTTTGTTTTTGGCTACCTTACGAAAGATTAGGTGGCTATGGGTCTGTGAGTTACTTTCTGGGTCTTCAATTCTATTTCATTGTTCTACAAGCTTGTTCATGTGCCAGTGCCAAGCTGTTTTTGTAAGTACAGCTTTATAATAGAGTTTGAAGTATTGCTATTGCTCCAGCAGTGTTCTTCCTGCTAAGATTTGCTTTAGCTATTCGGGTTTTCTATAATATTCACATGAAATTTTGCATTGCTGCTTCTTGTTGATTGAAAAATGTGGGATTTTGATGGGTATTGCATTGAATTTTAGATAGATCTTGGCAGTATTGCCATTTTCACAATGTTAATCCTCCCAATCCTCTATTATGAAGAGGAGTGGAGAGAGCAGACTGCCTTGTCATAATCTTTAGAGGAAATATTTTTAACTTTTGACCATTTAGTACAATGCTGACTGTAGGTTTGTTCTATATAGCCTTTATTATATTGAGGAATGTTCCATGATTTCCTAGTTTCTCCAAAGCTTCCTCCATAAAGGACCATCCACAAGTTTTATGGCTCATTTTCAACATAGTGGCCATGAGTACCATTGCTGCATTTGTTCACCTTTTGTGTCTACATTTCTGTGACTCTCTTTACCCTCAAAGACATATGAATTAATGAACAAACAATATGAGAAAACAAACACAGTAATAAAGAAAATATGTCTTATTTCCATGTTTTTGAGTTCTTTTTTTATAAATGTTATTTTGTATGGTCAGAAATAAGGATACAGGATGAACCATAGTAACAAAAAGATGTACAAGAAACTATGTTGAAAATGAACTTAACAACTTTGCTGGGGGGGATTGGGAGGAGTTGGGGAGGTGGGGAGGTAAAGGGAAGGTAGGGGAAAAAATAAGGAGGTAACAATGCTGGATAGGAAATGAGCTTATTACCTTGCTCATGTAAATGTAATCCCTCTCTACAATATCTTTTCAATAAAAAAAATATGTTTCAAGTAAAAACAAGTACACAGGCATTGTGTCTTTCTGTTCCTCTTTCCTCCTTTCATCTCACTTTGTGTACATGCCTAGAGACCTATATTTTAGATATAGACTCCTCACATGAAAGAAAACATGCACTACTTCTCTCTCTGAGTTTGGCTTACCACACAACATGATTTTCCCTAGGTCCATCCATTTCCAGGCAAATGACATACTTTTATTTTTTCTAAGGTTTATGTACAATTTCTTTGTGAATAGGTAACACATTTTTAACTGTCCATCTATTGTAGGGCATATCGGCTCTTGCCACAACTTGGCTATTTTGAATAGTGTGGCAATGAACATGATGTGCAAGTGTCTATATGGTATATTGGCTTGTGAGGTTCAGGGCAGATGAAGAGAGGTACGGCTGGGTTTAAAGGAAGATCTACGTTTCATTTTGTGAGGAACCTCTAGAATATACCAGAGTCATTGTGTCAGTTTACATTCCCACCAAAAGTGCAATAAGATTCCTTTTCCTCCACATCCCCGCCAAAATTTGTTATTTGAATTCACAATGTTGGCCAATCTTACTGGAGTGAGATGGAATCCAGGAGTTGGCTTTATTTTTCATATTCTCTATGACCAGGGATGATGAGCATTTCCTTATGTGTTCCTTTACCATTCTTACCTCATCTTCTAAGTCATCTATCCTTAGCTCTTTGTCCATTAACTAAGTGATTTACTAGTTTGGGGAGGGAGTAGTTTCTTAAGTTCTTTGGATAGTTTGGATATTAGGCTTTGTCTGATGTATTGCTGGTAAAGATCTTCTCATAGTCTGTTGACTATCTTTCTAGTTTAGTAATAATGTCCTTTACTGTGCAGAAACTTTTTAGTCTGATGCAATCCCATTTGTTATGTTTCTCTCCTATCAGGTACTCCTTTGAAACTCTATCCTAAAATTTTCTGCCTATGTCAATGAGTTCTAGTATTTCTCCTACTGTGTCTTGTAGTAATTTCAAAGTTTCTGATCTAATGTTGAGGTCTTTGATCTTCTATGAGTTGATATTTGTACATGGTGACAAACAAGAATCGATTTTTAGTTTCCTGCATATGGCTGCTCAGTTTTCTCAAAATCATTTATTGAAGAAGCTATCATTTTCCCAGAGTATACTTTGACTCCAAATCAAACCATATCAAATATATGGTTTTATTTCTAGGTCTTCTAGTCTGTTCTATTCATCTTTGGGATTATTTTTTGCCAATACCAAGATTTTTTTTTACTATAGCTAATAGTAGGGCTTGAGTCTTGGGATTGAGATTATATCAGCATTCCTTTTTCCCTAGAATTGTTTGGCTATTTGTTCTATCTTGAAATCCGAATTCTTAATCCATGAATTGACTGAGATCTGAAGATCATGGCTCAAAGCTAGCACAGGAAAAAAGCCCATGAGCTTTTTATCTCCAATTAATCAACAAAAGTGCTAGTTGTGGAGCTGTGGCTCAAGTGGTAGTACACTAGTTTTGAACACAAAAACGCAGGGACTGTACCCAGGTCTTGAGTTCAAGTACCATCACTAGAATGCACAAACACACACACACATACACACAATCACCAAAAGTATGGAAATTATTAATTCTACTAATTTTATTTCATCTTTGTTAGAAAAAATTATGCAACTGTTAGAAATTATTTGAAATATATTAAATCTGCTTTTCTGAAATCAAGTCAAGGTATAAAAAACTGAGTGCTAGGAAATGTACTTGCAAGAGGGTTTGAGATCAGGAGGAAAGAGGTAGAAGAATAAATAGAGGAAATGAGTAGAATGCAGGTAAGAATGCAGTGCATATGACACAGAACTGAGAAAAACAAGGGAAAGGGCAAGTCGAAGGGGGCTGACATATCTCAAAATGTATTGTATTTATGAATCGCTTTGTTGTAACGGCAATAATTTGAAAACGTAACTTTTTTATTGTGAAAATACTGTACAGAGTGGTTACAATTACATGCCCAAGATAATGAGTACATTTGCTATCAAGCATTGTAGCCTCCTCCTTTGTTTCCCCTTTCTATCCCTTCCCATCCGCCCCTTGGTACCCCACCCAATTCTCTCCGCCCCCCCATACCAAAGTTGTAAAGTTCGTTTTGGACATAACGACCTTGTACTTCTCATTGTTGCAATGGGTCCACCTGTATCCCTATTTAAACGATTTGTTTTTCCCCTTCCCCTCCACAAATTATACCGACATCGAATACAGTGAAAGCAGGGGTTATACTGTGGGAGAGGGACGTACAAAGCAACAAAGAAATAAACTTATAAATGTGTTAGAAACAATCACATGAAAGAAAAAAAGAACATTTGAATACATATCTTAGGGTTCATTTCCCTAACATCACCTTATCTGACCTTTTCTGCTTGACTCAGACATACTCTAGATATTGCAAATAAGGGAAACTATGGGACCTATGTTTCTTTGGTCCTGGCTTACTTCACTTAATAAATTTTTTCCATTTCCTAACAAATGGGGCAATGTCATTCTTTCTGATGGAGGCATAAAATTCCATTGTGTATATATACCACATTTTCTTGATCCATTCATCTGCTGAGGGGCATCTGGGTTGGTTCCATATCTTCGCTATGGTAAATAAGGCTGCAATAAAAATAGTTGTGCTGGTAGCGTTAGTGTGGTCTTGTTTGTGAACATTTGGGTAAATGCCCAAAAGTGGGATTGCTGGGTCATAGGGGAGCTCTATGTGGAGTCTTTTGAGGAACCTCCATACTAATTTCCAAAGTGGTTGAACATGTTTACACTCCCACCAACAATGCAGTAAGTTTCTCTTCTATCCACATCCCCTCCAGCATCTGTTGTTATTAGAGTTCTTGATTTTAGCCATTCTAACTGGAGTGAGGTGGTATCTCAATGTTGTTTTGATTTGCGTTTCTTTTATGGCTAGGGAGATTGAGCATTTCTTCATGTGTCTATTGGCCATCCTTCTTTCCTCTTCAGAGAAGTGTCTCTTTAAGTATTTAAATTAACAAACATGGGCGAGGAAGGTGGCTCAGTGGTAAAGTGCTTGCCTTGAATGCATGAGACCTTAGGTTGGATTTTTCAGCACCATATAAGCAGAAAAAGCTGGGAGTG